ATCAATATACAACTCAATAGCCAATGGTCATAACAAATTAATAACAGTGTTCACTGATATTTGAATTAATTTCCATATTGATTTTTATTTTTTATTAAAAAAAAGAAATATATCGATACATTGTTTATTAAAATCATATCTACTGTTCTATGTTAAAATCGACGCATAGGTAATTATTTCACTTGAAAATGTCGTTATTACGATGTAGGTATCGCCAGCATCACGATGCGCCGATGTGTTTAAAATATGCTACGGCATCGTACATCAAGGGGCCACCATCATCCCCTTTTTTTATAATTTAACTAACAGAGATATAAATCAAAGCATCGACAAATTTAGTAATACCTATAACGTTTAATCGTATATTCTGGATGCAGTACACAGCACAATCTCGTGGTGCCTCCCCCTCCTCCCCCGAGATCTCAAAAATCTACTATGACATAATGTGTCATATATAAATTGAGTGATGATCGGGGCTACGGTCACTATGTAGAGAATGTACCTATCTTTTCTACATCGATTCGTGCGCTAAGACATATTATTTTAAATGGTGGTTTATTAGCTGTTGAATGTGATACCTACTGATACCTGTTATCATGGCAATATTAAGTCGTTATCAAAATATAAAATCAAGATCACGTGTGATGTACACATAGATAATATATATTATCTATGGATGTACATTGAAAATGATATGTTATGTGATAATATATTAAATTTTTGTCCGTGGTATTTTATGATCACAGAACGTGTTAGTGTAGCYTGTAGTTAAGACGTTAAACAAGTAGTAAATACTATTTACTAAGTACTAATTTTTATAGTGTTACAGGTATTTCGTGTTAATACCTATTTATTACTCATAATATAGTTCTTATGCCATGGTAAATTGCAAGTTGGGTAATTGTGAATATCAAAATAATTTGTAGTGAATTCTTCATATTTACCTATGCAGTTATTTATAATCTTGTCACTATCCAAGTTTGAAACAGTATACTGATTTTAAATTTCTACAAATAATCATGGTAAATTAATTTTTACAAAGTAATTTTGATATAATAAATTATTTCTACAATATTGTGATTCATGTTATTAGTATTGGTTATAATTGTTTACCTTTATATAATTTATGTGCATAAATCAYTACCATTTACCTGTTATAATTTTTAGGGTAAACCAAAAACCACTGTGTTAAATGCCAATCATCCAAACAGTAGAAAGACAAAGCAATTGATTAAATCTAAACACAAGTAAGATAC